ATAAAAAATTGTAAAGTTAAGCAAAATATATCTCGTGCATATTTCTCGATAAAAATAACGAACTCTGAAAAATTGTAACAATCTTTATTACAAATATTACGAAAGCAAGAGATCATTAATCATTCGTTGAAGGTGTCTATCTTTTTTACTGTATAATATTCTGCTTTGTATAGGGATTCTATACGTCCATATCGGAAGATATAAGGGAGAATATTTGATAAGCATTTGCCGCCCTGTTCCCCGATCGATTCCCTCGAAGTCATGAATGCGAACAGCTTCTTCACTGTCGAGTGAGTCCTTTCTCTACGTCGGGATACGCGTGTGTCCTGTGGATAGACACATCTGGTATCGCGCTTTGCGTACGGTTTCCGCGGCGTGAATCGAGATTGATCCGGGCACAATGCTCGGGACGGGACGCTCCAGAACCGAAAGTGCCCGTGTCTACGTCGAGACGTCTGCGCGTGATTGACACCCGACAGCACCACTCGAAACAGTCAAAACATTTCACCCCGTGTCGCGTCGAGTCTGGCCTTGACGCTTCGTAGCAACGCCAATCATCCTTCTCGGCAGATTCACTGTTATCCGTAAAACGGGGATTACTCGGCGAGTACCCAATGTGTTCGACAATATTTCTTTTCATGTCACTCTCACTTATGAGAACATCAAGTTTCAGACGACTTCCACGATCACTTACGTATCTCTGAATGAATATAGATGATCGTACACAGCATATTATTGATCACTATATGAATGTATCAATTTTCGAATGCAACAATTTAAAATTGACCGGATTGTGTCCTTCGAATCACGAAATAATTTGACAAGATTTCTATGCCATTCTCCTTTACGAAAATATTATTGCAATGTTTTATAAATCATATATCTCGTTAAAATATCTCATGATCCAACAATAGAAAGTATATTTCGATGAAAGTAGCACAAGATACACTTACATATCGTATCTAACATTCTTTCACATTTCTACAAGTCTACAGCTTTTCTACAGCTTTTACCAATCAACAATGGGATACCTAGTTCGCGACCATAAAATACTTGTAAGTTGTGTTACAGTTCCGCGTGCTCTTTCGTGCACTCGATAATCCACGTGAACACAAGGATCGAAGAGGGTAAGCCGTTTGTCGAATGACGGTCGTAGATCCTGCGATATCTACGAAGCGCCCCAGCGCGACTAGCGTGATCATAGATCGTTGATTATCATCGGATAGCCCGCACAATGCATTTGCGCTTTCGTGTTACAGTCGCCGACTCAACAGGAGGTACTCTCGGCCCTGAAGAGACGTCTGGAGCAGACCAGCGTACCGCTCTTCCCACGGCATCGCCTTCGCATGCTCTCCAAACTTGCCGAAGGTGCCTTCGGAACGGTAATAACGTTGTTATTACATCCGTAAATATCAAGTATATACAGAAGGTGCAAAAAATATTCAAGAGAGATGTCTTTTTAAAAGATCTTATTTTAAAAAAATAGATATTAATTAGCAATTTATTAACAAAGAATACAATAGACTGTATGATTTTCAAAATGATTTTACTTAAAAAGTGTAATAATTAAAATATATGTATATTATTATCTTAAAAATAAACGAAAATGAAAAATTGTATTATTCAGACATGCACAAAAAATATTCCTATGATTGAGAAATTTGACTTCTATAGATCGAGAACACGCGAAGCTCTTTTCTTTTTCTTTTTCTTCATATTAGCACAGAACATACTCAATGTTCTTTATGTATATAAACGTGAAGTGAAACAAACTATATTTGTTTCACTTCAACTTATTGCATCGGTGAGCATTAATTCAGATTAATTCAGAGATTTATCGATAAAGAATATTAGTCTTATTCTACAAAATTGCTAATTAATGTTCATTTTCTAAAAATAAGGTTTTCTTAAATAAAAATTTCTCCTGTACAAATAATTTTTGTACTCACTGTATTTCCAATTAGATATGATAAACCAACGAATCGAACGATAATGGCTTTGCAATAATTTTTATGTTTAGTGTATTATTTGTATTCTCTAATTCGATTTAAAAATTATCTAGGGTGCATAGTCTATACTCTTCTCGTTTCGAGGGACACAGAATTCAATGTAACAAAGAAAATTCATTACGCCGTTATAACAATTAATTTATCAGCATTACCATTACGATTGTACGCGAATAAAAAGTAAGTTCGTATCGCGTAAATTTAGGTAATATGTCGCAACTTCTCCGGCATAGTGACACGATCGCGAAATCAATCCGTTTGTTGGCCGCGCAGCGAGTAATTCAACATGCGCAGGATGCGCAACAATACATCGATTAATGAAGTACCCGGGACTTGTTATTCTTCGCCGGCACAATGGCACCTCATTGGGGGTCGTCGAGGATAATCAGTTTAGGATGCGTTAGAGCGGCTAATAATTCCCTTTTGTTTTCCGCTATGGGGACCGACAACGTGTCGTTAATGACAACAGCCGAGGAGGAGGATCATCGAAATGCTCGTTCGTTTCGCACAGTTTGCCAGTTGCCGCGTCAGACTTCCGTGGATGCGGATGCATGTAGACGCGATCGTGCGGGACTTTCCATGGATATACACGAGATCGGACACGTCGATCTCGAGTCCCGGTCGACTTACGAAATCAATCGTCTTCATGCAAGATTGCCGGAAGATCGTCAAATCTCTTACACGGAAATCACAGAAGAGTACAGTCGTGTTACGCGATGCATACAATGATTGATTATCCTTTACTTCCGTCCTAGACTTTCAGACTACAGTTACTAAAGCTTCAAGAGTTCTCTGAATGTATTTTCGTATATTACACAGAAAAAAGTATTTGATTGAATTAATTGGAATTCTGGTGGAAAAGGAATGATCCAAAATTCTGAGATTAGTCTACTAGATTTTCCGGTTAAATCTAGAATTCTAGATTTAACTAGAATTCCGAGTCATTCATTTTCCACCAAAATTCCAGTTAATACAATTAATGAAAAGAATATATTCTTTTAAATCGTATCATTGTAAAAGGCAGGATCAAATTTTGTTTTTCGGAGAAAACCGTTTTTGGATTTATATCGAAATAAATCGTATGACTTTCTTTTGATTGATACTTATTTAAATTTTACTGTGTCGGAAAAGAATCGATATTTTCTTCAGAAATTATATAAGATTAAAAACAGAGAGAAATACATTTAAAAAAATAATTTTTCTTAATAGTAGTACATTAAATTTATATGTATATAAATTTATAAGTGTATAAATTTTTTCTTGGTACTCTTTAAATTTAAATCAGTGGATAATCATTGATATCAATGACCAATCAACAAAGTATGCCACTAGTAAATGAAATGTGAGATATTTAACTTAACTAATTTTTACGTGATCTAATTAACCTATTTTAATGCATAAATTACATAAATATGTTATTGGAAGATTGAAATTAATGTGCAAATATCAATATTTTAGTTATATAATGATCAAATATTATTCCTTTTTTAATTGAACTTCATTTATTGTCCAGTGCCAAGTATGCCACTGAGTAATTAGTGATTCCACTGATTCAGATTTAGAGGGTATATTATTATCTTTGACTGAACAAAAAATTCTTGTAATGCAATCCGCTTGGTTGCATAATTGAAAAACCAAATAAAAATTAATGTTCTTGTTATTATTATTTACATGTGTGAAAAAATTTTAACAAACGATAACAAAGTTAGCAAAAATCGGCTTGTGTAAAATCACGTACAACCGAGATTCGTCAATATTACAACAAATTACAAAATTTCACTTATTTTCTGTCAAATTTACCGTGATTATGAGTAGCTTCTATGTATATACATAACGCAATTCAAATAAATTATGCATAAAGGTATACGTGGCGGAAGCTGAAGGAATTCCGGAATACGGGACAACAACTACCCTTGGCAAGCGACTCGTAGCCGTCAAGTTTTTACTACCGGAAGCCAGTGAGAAGGAAAAGTGAGTATAGTCCATATGGAAGCCGCAATTTGCATTCTGTTTCATTATAGTGACGCTCGATTGAACAAGTATGCCTTTCTGCCTTCCTCTAGTCCGTTTCCTCCGCGTGTGCGACGGAAAATCTTGTACATTCACATAAAGACACATTTCTACAATATCTGCTATCTAGTCACGATTTTTATAACATTCAATCTCGACCAATATATCATAAGTTATCTCCCGGAAAAGATAAAATCGAAGGTTTCAAGAAGATCAGCAAATTGATTATTATATGATGTTTTAAGACAAAATTTCAACAATTAATAATTTTTATACACACAGGTTAGAATATTCGAACTCCACGGAAACCGATAATTTTTGTCGACCCGATAATTTTGGGCATTTTGACAAGTTCTGACATGTTCTGTTCGAGTTCTGTATGAATAAATTATTATCAAAGATTATTCCCGCCTTATAAATTTTTTAATAAATTATTTTTAGTAATGAATTTAAGTAACACGTATAACGAAAGCTTGTGGTCAAACACATGTATAAACTGAAAAGTAATGAATGATTTAACTGAAAACTAAGTTGTAGTAGCTTAAATGTAATGAACGTTTGCATTCATATAAAACCACATAAAATATGGAAAGTACATGAAAAAACAAACATTTTATGAAAAATACATTAAATTTCATATACATGTACACAAACGTACGTTTCAATTATAGATACATTAAATTTAATGTAATGCCATGAAATTAAATTCAACTCATATAATTCAAAAGTACATTAAATATCATAATATTTTTAATGGTGTAATTATTTTGATGATATAAAATTATTTTCAGATCTGTATCTAGTTAAATTTTCAGATACTTCAGCAAAATCGTTCTTTCTGTGTAATATCTAACACATTCGAAATGGAAAATTATTTCGGACATTACGTGCAAAGAACGATTTTACTGAATACAGAACTGAAAAATCTAAAATTTTGCTGAATACAGATCTGAAAAATAATTCTGTCGGATTATAAAAATAATTTTGTTGGAAATTCAAACTGGTTGTTAGAATATCAAAATTTTTTGCAGCATTTCGCATCACTTTTTAGTTTTTAGCATAATTATTTTGATAGTCTAACAAAATTACTTTCAAATCTGCATTCAGCAAAATCGTTCTTTCCATGTTCGCGTTAGTTGAAAGAGACTTGTTTTTAGCTCGATTATCCCGCACTATCGAAATTCATGTAAGAGGAAATATTTTCGTGAAATGAAAATGGGAATCCGCATAATAAGCGTAACGCGCACGTCCAAAAATGCGATGGCGAAAGAAGAAAACAATAAGCTAAATTATGCGAGAGAGATCATTCTTGGCAACAATATATGATACATCGAATTTGGAAATAAAAAACGAGCGATCCACATTCGTGTTCTCTGGTCGAATGCATGCGACGACCTGCGTCGCGGCGCGACGTCCACCGAAGAAGCCCCGCGGCGGCGAAATGTCCGGATATACCCGGACGATCGTTCTCGCGGCTATCGCGTCAGACATCAGAAAAAGGCCAGTTCGATTCCACGAATGGAACGGATTTGCATACAATGACCGGGAGATAGGATATCGGGCTGACTTTGGCGCGCACTATGAGCCGATGTGTGCAGCGAAACGGCGAAGGGCGGGAGACCTCGTAGCGAAGATGACAAAGCTTCCCACCAATGAACATCGACGAAAATCGACGGTCCTTCCCATTGAATACCGCATTGCCTGGAACCTATTGCGCTTTGCAGACTCTGGTTCTGATCTGAAGAGAAATTTCGTCGACTCCGTCCGCGGAGCAATCTGTCGGACGTCTCAGATGCGAGGGAGAATAGCAAGCAATTTGGCTGATTTAGCGTGCATGAGTGTATCTACTTGCGCGAGGAGTTTCGCTACACATTGCAATTCCGTAACAGTGCCTGGTGCATGGTGCATCGCGTACTTGTGTGCGAAGTGATTGCACAAGCATCTTACGAAAGTGATTAATTTATTGTTAACCATTACATCAATCACTTTAAAGTTCTCTCATCGATTCGCTATCTCTGGAAGGATCAATTTTCACATAATCGATTCATTCTTTAAACCTCTATAAAAATACCATTGATACATAAATATTTGAGTTAATAAGTAGATTTTTAAGTGCCGGAATAATTCGTAGGCAAAAATCACGACAGTTCTGTCGACAGTTCTGTATAAAACGACTAGATATACATATAGTGTCTCTCCGAGACTCGTCGTATTTTATCTTGTGCGAGAAAGATCTTCGAAAGATTCTAGACGGATCCTCAGCATCCACTCACGCAACAAGCTTCTGTCGCGCGGATGACTTATAGCTTGTCGTGACTGCATCGACGAGTTTGTTCTCCGTGTTGAAACGTGAGCAACTGCGATGTATGAAGAACCGTAAATCCACACTGTCACATATATGTGCATCACGTCTTGAGAGATAAAGGGAATTTTCCGCAACAAAAAAATTTCATCGCTCATTATATCCTAATATTAATTACATTTTTACTACGAATAACTCTGTCTACTCCTAACTCCTCTGAATATATTTGAATAGATTTTTTTATTCAAGCTAAAATATTTAGTTTGTTGTTTTTATAAAATAATTTCTCTGCTTTGTAAATAACAAAAATATTTGTTTATCATATCAACTATTACAATTTAGTTTCATAAGATTATTGTTTGATGTATATTTTAATTTAAAATTTTTGTTCGGTATATTTCAACCAAATTTTTGTTATTGCAACAAAATTTTTATTATTTTATTATTATAGAACGAAACATTTTTTTTTCTTAGTGGTACCATATTTTATTCTCTTATATCAATACGGTAGAAAAAAATGGTTTGCTATAACTAAAAATTTAGCTAGATTTAAAAATAATTTTGTTGAATTGTCAACATGATTATACAGAACGCTCAAGCCGGTTGCTAGAACGTCAAAACTTTTTGTTATTTATGCTTGAGTTTTTTGCATAAATATTTTGATAACCCAACAAAATTAATTTCAAATCTGTATCTAGCTAAATTTTTAGATAATTCAACAATCATTCCTTCTGTGAAAATTCGCAATGCATACGTCGCGCGTAGATTTGAACGGGATCACAAAAGTCTTCCATGCGATGATAAATAAGGAAAGTACAACAGAGGATGCTTGCGTGTGCAGCCGCTCGTTCAAAGGAGGCCATGCTGACGGTAGATAAGAAATGTTTTATACACTATGCTCTCGCATATTACAGTGTATAACTCGCGCTGATACTTTATTAAAAATAACGCGTGGGCTCGACTGCTTCGATTTGCATCCATTCGAGGTAAATGACGCATATATCATTCCTTCGAATTATCAAAATCATAAAATTTCATCTATATAAAAAAAACTACTAAGGTCTATTCACCACGCGCAAATTTCAATTTTATTTATTTCAAGAACTGTGATTTTAAAATAATTAAATCTCGAGATAATTTTTTATTTTAAATGCTTTTATATATTTTTCAAAATTTATTCGTTAATAATACAGCACTCTGCATAGTTTTTTTGCAAATTTACATTTATTCCATAGTACCATTGTACTAAAAATTGTTGTCGGAGAAATCAAAGGATGTTTGCAAAGTCATAGATCGAAATTGAAATTAAATTGGGAATTCGGCATCACGTTCGTGGTACTGTGAACACCGCCAATACAATAGGGAACGTTCCAGCGTAACCGCCGATACCAGCAGCACAAGAGAGGAGAAATTGAACCGCGAATACGAAGTTTCGGCTAATGCGAAAGTCATTAACCTACCTTAGAAGTGGCGGTAAACGGGCTATTTTGCATATAGTGACCAAGAACAGGACCGTATGTTTCGCCCACATCAAACTCGAAGGTGCGCGCACCAGCGAATTCTTAGTTTACAGCGAATCGATACGCAAGGCGTCGTCGTTTAGTTAACGGTTGCATTAAGCTATCACGCGAAAGTGCCATTACCAAGCCGATCGTAAGTAAAACCGGAGTAACGATGCTGCGTGGAAAGGCGCGTCGCACATATGTACTCATACTCTGAAAAGCGCTTCTCTTATCCGGAAGTACACGACCCAACGAACTGGATGGCGACCGCAGCCGTTAACGTCGTACGAACATTGGGACCACAATGCAGAAAGCGCGCAACGCGATACGAGGGTCATTATCTAGGATATCAGTGACTCTTGTTAAAGTTCAAAGACATCACATTTATTTTACTTGTTATTTTATATCATGTTGTTATTAAATACACACACAAACACACACACACACACACACACATACACACACACACACACACACACACACACACACACACACATATATATATATATATATACATATATTTGTTTTAAACGTATTAAGAATTTTAAGCACGTATATGTGAATACATCAAGTAATAAAGAAAGTCAAGATCGATCAAATTTTGGACACTAATTTGTTACAAATAATACATTATATACTTTTTTATTAAGTTAATTTATTCCAGATATAATTGCGAGCCGATAACATTTGGTTTCAACACAATCTAAAATGTTAATAATTTCTCCTAAATTAAATTAGAAAGAAAGAAAAAAAGAAAGTAAGAAATTTATTGCGAAAAATATTATCTCAGTCGGGATTCGAACCTTGAAGCCTCAGTGATCGAGCTGGCTAAGACATTCTAAGACATTCCCGGAAAGTTGAGAGATCTTAGGTTCGAATCTTGAATGAGATAATATTTTTCGCAATAAATTTCTTACTTTCTTTCTTTCTTTCTTTCTTTCTAATTTAATTTATGAGAGATTATTAGCGTTTCAGAATGATTGTATTGAAACCGAATGTTATTGGCTCGCAATTATATCTGGAATAAATTGATTTAATAAAAGAATATAATGTTATTTATAACATCCAAAATTTGACCGATTTTGGCTTTCTTTACTTGATGAATTTGTTTTATTATTATACACACACACACACACACACACACACACACACACACACACACACATATATATATATATGTAGTTATTTATATTTATACATTTCGTATTTCTCATATTTCTAAAAATACTATATATATATTATATTTTGAGAATATATATTATATTTTGTATCCTATGATATTTTGAGATTTATCTTTAAAATTGGATCCGATTAGAATTACGTAAGAGTACGATAATCATGCTAATATAATCGTCGCAATAATTGACACAAAATCAAATATAAAATTAGATTTCTTTCATTTTGAAAAATTCTCACAAATTAGATTAGTTATAGCATTAATGATAACTCATTGAAGAATTGATCCTGCACAGATTGGATTTCCAAAGAGATGTGAGGATTCTGGCTGCTCTAGAAGATCGCAATATCGCACGAGTCTTGGGCGCTTGTTATCGCGAGGAACCGTATTGCGTCGTAATGGAATATCTAGAACATGGGGATCTTTGTCAGTTCCTCAAAACGCATATCACTGCCGAGGATGCGCATTCCATGCCAATTGGCGTCAAGACACTCAGGTAACTTTCCAGTGACACATTCTGATTAATCAAAACTCAGCACGCATATATAATTCTTTTCGTATTATAACTAATTTCTCTTAAAACTATTAATTAGCATTAATGCTTCTTACGTTAATTTCTAAATTACTCTCGAATGTGCAATGATTTTTTTATTTTACTATAATATAATACTAGAATGCAATTTAATATGTATCGCCTAAAATTTTTTTCTGCTGACTTGTTATTTTATTGATATAGTGAAAGAGCAGTGTTTATTAAAACATTCACTGTCGTTTTTCCAAAAAATGGCATGCGTGCAGGATGTTTCATTGCATGTAACGATCGTCACGGAAATTGAATGTTTCCAAATAAAAACAACGCAGTATCTTCAAAAATATCAAATTCGAATATCTTTCGTGAATAAAATTGCTAAAAGTCATGGAACACATATACCTTCATGAAAGCAATATTCCATTTTGTAAAAAAATATATATGTACATATATATATATATATATACA